CATTTAAAATGATTTGGTTCAATCGCAATGACTCACTTATTAACAGTGTCTTGCTGCCACCTACTGGCGATTTTAATTTCACATTTAAAGTATCTTTTCATTTTGTAAATAATTTCAAATATCAGTATTCAACATTTCATGTTTAAAATATCAAAAAATTTTTAAGCATTTGTAACTGCAGGTTAAAGCATTCCATGTCCTTCTGAGCTGAATTAACATGTGTAAATACATCTAAATGCAACTTCTGCAAAGATTAATTTTCTTGATACTGATTTAATTTGTTCAGTAACAGCCTAAATTTATTATTATTATAATTGACTGATTAAATGTAAGAATTTTACCTCAAAATATGATGCACACTTTTAGGGGAAAAAATGACTTTATAAAGGTAAAAATCTATTTAAACTTATTGGAAAAGATTAATTTCTATCACTGCTGTGAACTGACCGCCACACAGAATATGAAGAATATCAAAAACTTTAGAAGTCAGCTGTCCCCGGTAGTCCTAAAGATATCAGCACAATAACACACTCAGCAATATATCGTATAATTATCTTTATCGATAAAATCCCAGAAAATATTTAGATTTTTTTTTTTCGTCAATATCGCACACCCCTAGTACTGACACAAAATTTGCAACGATCACTTTGTCATGTCCTGTGTAGACAGCCTCAAGCTGTTGGTTTATTTCCGTGTTTTATTATTTATTTTTTTTGGCTAGTAGAAGTTATGATTGGCCGGCGGTAACTAGTGTTGCTTTCGTCAACGAAAATTATGACTACTCAGACTTTTAGTTGACTAAAACTTGACTAGACTAAAAAGAGTATGAACGTGACTAAAACTAATAAAAACTAAAATGACAGTTTCACACAAAGACTTAAATAAAACTAAAATTAAAACAGGCCGCCAAAAACAACACTAGCGGTAACTTAAAAATTTTGTAGCCAAATTGGCTGGTGAGTGAAAAAGTTCATTTCAATCCCTGGGTACAGTTAATACCATTAATGAATTCATAAAAAAACAAAATTAAATAAAAAAAAGTTTTTGCAAAGAAATGTTACAGGTTTATACAAATGTGATGTAATTGTAAAATCTTAAATGTATAAAAATAATTCTCTTTTTGGGAAACCCTGTATTAAAAAATAATAATAATTACATTGTAAATTACAGTAATATGAATTTTTATAATTTGTTGAGTGTAATAATAACAATAGCTATGTAAATACTACTAAAACTTTAAAACTGATAAAAAATAAATGTTTTTTTTTTTAAGTTAAACATGCAAATGTGACATTAAATAATTGAAATATTTACTTAAAATCTCAGGGGGTACTTCAAGTACATAATTTAGGTCAAAGGGGTTCGGCTGACAAAAAAAGTTTGAAAACCCCTGTTCTAAGTAATGGACTTACGAGTAAACAGAGGTTTCCATTAATTTGAAAAGATTATTATCATTTTATTATCAGAAATATGCTGTAGAGATTAAATATTACTTATATCTGACTAACATCTAATGCTTCAGAAGACAGTATTCCATATATTTCCATATATTTCAACATGCACATGCAATCACTCATTTGTACACATATTATACATGCTTAATGTATATACACTCATTCACAAAGTTTTTAAACAAATAAAATGGATACAATTAATTTAAGGGAATTAAGTCCATGCATTGATGTGTTCCTGGTCACCATGCACCTTAACAGTATGGAAAAAAAAATCTGCTAAATGTGTTATTTGTGTATTACAAACAAACAAACAAACAAACAAACAAACACAGTGGTTCAGAATGACTTAAGGGTGACAGAAGTAAATGATGACAGAAGTTTATTTTTTGATGGATGAAACCTTTAACATAATTGATCCCTTTAACACAATGACCTATATGACAAACAAGAATAGCCTAAAAACCAAAATACAGATCTGATCACAGTGCATGTGTGTCCCTCAACGAAAGCTGTTGTAGTGGTCATATTTACAGTAAATGAGCATTTAATTAGAGATGCTGTGGGACGATTGCAATAACCCTTTGTGAATCACTCACGCCACCAATGACCAAACTGTAATTGAATTACTGCAGTGAAGGGGCCAGTGCAGTTTGACTACTATTATTCTCTAGACATCAGTAATAATTCTGGGTCTTTGTCATGTGTTTTTTTTTTAATCATTTTCCTTCACTTCACCTCACTTTCCTTTAAGACAAGGCACTTTCAATTTTCTAAAAATTTTCTGTTTTTCTGTATTGACAATTATTTGATATTGTTATTGATTTGGAGTTAAAGGTAATGTTTCATACTGAAAAATCAAACAAGGCCTTGTGTAGGTTGTTTGGAACTTGATTCAGCTGTTTTGGACTTGAAAGAATAATAAACTGCCCATTATGAAGTAGAGCCACAAGGGGTCTGGAACGTCCTGGGACTTCATTATCAGATTAGCAGTTGTGTCTGATAAACATTTATTAGCTTGTCAGTTTGCTCCCGGAGGATTAATTATTATTTGACATTTGAATGGGCCCCCTAAAAGCAAACTATTTTAGATGTCATTAATGAAAATGCAACAGTTCCCCTCTGTGTTCCTCTGTTGATATAATACCACAAGTGACTAATTAAGATGTAATTATCATCTGCTTCAACAATATACTTTATAATGTGGACAATAACAATTGGTTCGGGGTGAGGTAACAGTAGCCCTGAAGGTGCACCAATTACTTTGCATCAACCAACATTGTTTGCAACATGACCCTTAGAAAGGCAAACATCTTTATCTCTGTGGGGAAATCAGCTTTCAAACCACCTTAAAAACATTTTAGAGTTATTTATATGAATTGAACTTTTCAGAACTTGGAGGTTCACATTAAGGTTTACAAACTGCGTCAAACTTATCTTCAAAGTCTGTCTAGTTGTTTACCTGTACAGTAAACATAGAGAAAGTAGGCCTAATTATACATATCATGCACTCTAGATGACTGGTGCTCTGCATTTGATTTAGTAGAAAAAATCTATGGGGGATAACAAAAAACAAAACAAGTGTGAATTCTGAAATGGCGAGACAAAAACCTGCTGAATCTATTACAGGGCATTCCAAAGAAAAAAAATGCATGCTGGAGGTCTTCGATAAAGCATTACACATCAAAATATCATTGACATGTTAAGTGAGAGAAAAGCTAAAGCTATTTCAATTACAATTTTGATTATGATTAATTATCATATATATATTTAAGAAAAATGAAAAAAAGATTGTGGCATTTTACATTAGCTTTTCCAAGACAGCAAGACGGTATATTTCAACAAAACGCTCTTTTGCTCTTTTGTTGGTTTTATTCGCTTTTATTGTTCTCATTTGTAAGTCGCTTTGGATGAAAGTGTCTGTTAAATGACTAAATGGAAATGAAAATGGAAATGTAAAATGAAAAACTCCCAGTAAAGGGATCTGAATGATTCAAACCACATCATTATAATAACTGATTTAAAAGTAACCTAAGTGTCTTATCTTACAGGTAGTAATATTTAGATGTTGTGACGAGTGGGGGCGGGGCCGAGAGCCGTGGGAACGGAGCGAGACCGGTGGAGTGATTGCTAATGAGGGACACCTGCCCCCACTCACCAGTCTCGAGTCTCACGGAGGAGCTCCGGAAGGATAAAGGAGGAGTGATTACAGTGTTGGACGAGAGAGGACCAGGCCTGGATTTTATTTTGTGTTTTGGTTTCGTTTGTGCGCGACAGTCGTCCGCGAGGGGCTGTCGCGCTATTTTGTGTTTATTTTATTATTAAAGATTTCATTGAGTGTTCGCCGGTTCCCGCCTCCTTCTTCCCGTGACTACGAACTTTGTTACAGATGTATTTCTATATATTCAGACATATAATTATATATTCATATTTACTTCTGTATAATATTCTGATTTTGTACAATTATTTCCTGTTTGACCCTTCCTATTATGTATGTATGTAAAGTCAGCAATAAAAGAAATGTCCCCTTTTCAGGATACTGTAAAGATAATTTTGTAAAATCCAAATAAGCTTTACAGATCTTTATTAGAATGAGTTTAAACAATGTTTTTTATGCTGGTTAGAATAACCATAAACAATTATTGCACATGCTCCTGTGGAGCTGTCCTTAAGACACCTACATTTTACATTAATGTCACAGTTCCAATAACTTAGGTCAAAAAAGAGACCTTTCTACTGACTCTACTTGCTGGAGAGAGAGATGAGGACTGCAGATGTGGCCACTGGCCAGAGCAAAAAACTGCATTGTCAGTAATGTAAGAGGCCTAAGACAGTGCTTTGACAAGAAGGACAGCTGAATATCCTTGTAATGCCAGACTCAGTGGCGGGCCTTCACCTACACCTAGGCCTTCAGTGGCATCCTACATGAATTAATCCATCTCTTCATACACTGAAAAAAATAAATCTGAGTGGATGTAAATGCTACGTAATTAAATCTGTGATATTAACAATAAAATGTTAAATTTGTATCGTTACATGAATATATCTAGTTGTGAATTATTCTGCATTTGTTCAAAATACAAGACATTGTGCATTTTTTCCCTTTACAAAATGTATCTACGTAATCCCAGCCAATCTTCTTAGGTACACACACATAACAAACAATAACCTTGTTTTATTTACTCAGTACAAAATAATTACTTCCCTTCGCATTTTTGGTTTGGAAACCCTGCACATTCCAGACGAAGAGAAGTCTGCACTAAACTTAAGGTAAGAATAAAGTTAGCAAAGTGACGTTATAGTTGGTTGTCTTTACAGTTTTCGAATTGTTGTATGAAAAGAGGCTTTATTTATGTGTAATTTGAAGATAACGTTGTTGTACGTTGGCCTAAACTATGGCTACGCTTGTAGGTGCTTCTGGATGACGCTGTCCTACTTGAGCTCCGCGAAAAACAAACCCAATATTTCTACACGTGAAACAAGGAGGTAATAAGCACACGATTATGATAGTATGGTTTGTGTGTGATTTTCATGCGATTGGAGCTATTTTCATATCAATAATGGATGTTTATTATAAATGCTAAGCATATATTTCAACAACATGACTAAAATCCACACTAGATCGCGATCGGAAGTTAATACAAACAGTCTGGTAAAAGTGAATTTTGAGTAAAAGCGTAATATTAATCTTTTAAATTGTGTTATGTAGCTTGATGCTAATTGTAGCTCTAATGCACGTCGCCATGAGCTATTCTATTCCACAAACTAATTTGATAAAAGAATTCACATAAGGTCCTAAGAATTTTTTTGTTTTTGTTTGCTTGTTTTTCATAAAAAAGACTTCAAATTTTACTTTACAAAATAGCACTTTTAGTGGACGGTAATTGATGATGCACATTTGCCCTAGGATTACACAAATGTACATATATACAAAAAAAAAAAAAAACTAACCTACTGTATAAAAATATACAGGGTAGCTGGATAAGGAGTGCAAATCACAGTGTGTCAGTCATATATAAGTCCTCTGCCCTTGCAGAGGAGAGTCATTATATAGAATTATTAGGAATGGCTGGTAGGAATAGAGTGACTTTCTGTATCGGTTCTTATTACAGCGGAGTTGGAGGAGCCTCCGACTGAAGACACTCTGCTGTCTGATCAGCAGGTCAACCACCTGCAGTGGTTGTGGAGAGAAGAAAATTTGAAACTATTTTTAATTATAGTTAAATTATTTGCTATGTTTTTTTTGTTTTTGTTTTTCTTGCACTGATCAGTCACTAACCATAACACTGTGTCCTTACCAGGTGATTCTCTTGACAAGTACACTGCATAAAGGTATGCAACTTTCAATAAATTGGTTTATTGTAGTGAGGAAAGTGGGGGTTAAAGTTAAATTAACTTAGTTAGCTCATGGGCCAGAGAAAAAGTTGTTTTCATTTCAAATGGCATCATAAATGAGGCATGTACTTTTAACATTGTAGTAGTTAGTTTAATGTTGTAGCATTCTATTCTGCATTTAAGATAATCTCATATTTAATATATTTGTAGGACAACAGCATTGAGTCCCGAAGAGAAACTGTGATCAGAGGCCTCATTCTCTACCTTGGTGAAAAGACAGAGGAGTTAATCAAGGACTACCAGGTAAAGAAAACATATTTCTGCCCTCTCACTTTTTATGAATGCATACTGAAGGATTGTCACATTTATTTCTTGATATATATATAATGACATAACATATCATTATCACATGGCGCAGCTGATTGGTTCACTTCTGTATCAGCCGCCAATGAGCTTGCTGCTCAACATTCAAATACTTGGCTTGTGCTTGCTGTAGCAGTGCAGTGCGCTTCAGAAACCCTCCACCTTCCCCAGCTCCACCTGTATAGATCATGCTACGAGGTGATTCATGTATG